TCTAGTGTAACCATCACATTCGCGTGTTGTGACAACAACAGCAACAAATTGCATTAAATGAAAAGGTTTCTCCTGGGCGAATGTGTGTATATTTGCTGTTTCCCATTTCCTTTTGCGCCAATTGATCGAGTGGACAGGCAAACACCAAAAGACAGGGCCAAAAGACAGCAGACAGACGGACTGACATCCGTTCACACTCATAACGAGAAAAGAACGCTGAAATGGAGTTATGGGGTCCACAAGGTACAGGGTTCCCTTGATTTTTGTATTAATCTTCTATTTGGAATATTGAAGTATTGATATTACTTTACTATCAATCGAATTAAATCCCTTAAACGATATTATATGAAAGTTAAAGATGGTTTGGTATAACAACTAGGCTTAATAAATACAGGGTACTTAATAGAACCATCTTGAAGCCTCATAATTCCTTTGGCGGTGAGTGTTTGCATTTCCAAGTTGGCACTTTGCTATTGACAGTGACTGTGACTGAAAACCAGAAATCGTGTGCACTCCAGAGGTTATTTTAGTTTTAGCATCGTGTGCAAAGTGAATGGTCGAGGATGCCATCCAGCCCCCCTTTTGAATGAATCTGCGCTCCTTCTTCGATCTTGTATGATATGAAAAATTCCTTTGATTGACAGGCAAATCGCATTGGATTTGGCATGACCAATTATTTGGCATTTACTGTTTCCTGCTCATCTCCGTTTAATTGGTTATGCCGTGACTGTGACTGTGGCCGTAAATGTGACTGTCACTGTGACTGTCACGCCAGAGTGGGAGTTGATTCTTCTGGCTGCAAAAGAAATGGAAATTTCCACTTGATGTCTAATTGGCCAAGCTACTTTCACTGGTCATTGTCATTAGTGTAAGCCAAGCCCCTTTGACCTTTCATTATGCGTTCTTTTTCATTTTTCCCTTCACTCTCTAATGATGTGATCACTGATCAGGTCCATTCTTCTTTTATTTTCTTTTCATTTCGTTTCGTTTCTTTTCGTTATTCATATAGTTTCGTATCTGCTTATGATGCAATTGCCGTTCTCTGGCTTTTCTCTTTGGCGTAATTAGAGGTCCCGAACAAGAATGAGAATGGGAATGAGTGGAAGATGGCAAAAGTAAGCGTGCCTAATGATAACCTTTTGAAGACCCCTCTTCGGGTCCTCGGCTCTCTCTCTGCGATTCGTTTCGATTCCGTTTCGTTCCCGTTTCCCCCCGTTCCTCTCCTTTCCCATCCCATCGCGTTCCCCGTCGTAACTGCAAATTTTCTTGATTACCGGGTAGCCAACTTAAATCCAAGTACGCGCCACTGGCCACAAGAATTGACCAAAGTAAAACGAAAAAAAAAACCAAGAGGGGCCAAAGAGGCGGGGGCTAAAGGGGGCGTGCCAGCACTGACCATTGACCATTTGAGATGGCCACCAGCTGATGAGAAGCGCTGCAGTCCATCGATCTCCGATTCCCGGCTATATAATTACCATTCGCAGTAAAAACAAAAAACAAGAGAAGAAACAACACAAACAGTTGGCATTGCGGGGTGGTGACCTTCATGAACCTTGAGGATTCTATAATTGCAGTAGGCAAATGCCAGAAATGATGGGACCCTCAAATTAGAAATGGTCAAGGACGCAAAACGGAGGCCAAAAATAAACCCAACACCGGCTATAAATAACGAGATTCGTGAGCTGGCAATCGTCGGGGGCCAATTGCAATTCTTCTGCAGAAGAACCCACCCGAAGGAACTGAAGAAAGAGCCAGAGAACCAGAGTCAGCAAATCTGCAACAATGACGTCAACAGCCGGAGATGTCCAGGGCGAATCTCTGGGCAATATATATCTCGGCCCTCAGATCTCTACAATCAGGCTGGGCCCTTTGTAATTGGCTTCTGTTAGGGCCCAGTGTTTCTTTTGCCTCGTTTCAAATGCATTTCATTTGCTCAAGCTCTGAATTCTGTAGATTCTCCAAGAGGGAGTATGCGAAAAAGAAAAGATAATATCTCGAAAACCTTAAGAACATATATTATAAGGGAATTCCAGCGAATTAAGCTGTTATATGGTTATTAAAGCGTCTAAGTGATAAGAACTCTTAGATCACATTGATTTCATTTCAAAGTACTTTTTTGTTTAAGGATAATTAAAAATCAGTACCAAGTAATTTAAGGTATTTACTTGGACTTGTGTAGCATTGTCTGTTCTGACTTTTGGACATTAATCCTGCCCCATCCCCACGTTTTTTGTCCTGGGCCATGCAAAACGAGAGCAATCGCAGATGTTGCTGCTGTTGCTGCAGAAGATGCAACACAAGTTGCAGCTGGGGCAACAACAATTTCAGTTTGGCTCCCGTTGAGTTGCTGCTGGCGATGCTGCGGGTTGCTGATGTTGCTGTTGCTGCTGTTGTTGTTGCTATTGCTGCTCTTGTTGCAGTTGCTCTTGTCGCTGTCGCAGTTGTTGCCGTTGTTGCTGTCGTGCGCTTCGAGGGGGATCGCAAGTTGCAACAGCAACATCAGCGGGCATTCTTCGCTGTCTTTGCCACCTATTTCATACAGCATACAGAACATTTGTTGTCGCTGTTTAATGTTGTTGCTGCTGCAGATGCTGCTGATGTTGCTGATGTCGCTGTCGATGTTGCTGATGTTGCCCTGCAATCGGACACGCCGGCAACGGGCAACATTTGGCACTGGCCCGCGGAGAATTCGATGCCCCGGCTATATCGCTTGCCATTTCCCATTCCAAATACTCAGTGCACAGTGAGAAAAACCCTAAGTTAAAGTATATAATTTCCATAGGCTTGGCTAAAACCTAAAACCATCTGCGGCTTTTGTGCTGTGTGGCAACGATTCTCGGTTTTCATTTGGCCATTTGCAGCTCGTGTTGGGCTGGTTTAATATCGCTGGTAATGGCCACGTTCCGAGGTCTATGATTATAGAGGGCGGTTCGGCGGGGGAAATGGAAGTGCATGAAATAATTGCATTGGCAGTGCCCAACTCCAGCTCCAACTCCATCTGCAAGTCCAACGCCAACTGCAAGTTTTGTGTCCGTTTCTGTCGTTTCTGGACAATTTTCGCAAAACAAATTGAATTGAATATGTAAATATAATTGCCTTGGGGGCTATGGCGATCTGCCCTCCACCTCCTTCTACGAATCCCCCCAACCACTTCTTATGGGGGGCGTTTAAAAACCCATAAATTTCGACTTAAATGCCGCTCTATAAGTCAGTGCGGGAGGTGGAAAAAGAGGCACTACTACCAGTACCATTGCCATTGCCAAAAGGGAGCTAAGAAGTCGAAGGAGAGGAGGCTATGGCCAACAGCTGGCTAACATATATGGCATTAGCTTCCGCAAGACTTTGACCATTTGTAGACGGCACTGCGAAATGAATAAATGAATGCAAATGCATGCAGTTAAATAATCCATGACTCGGGATGAATGAATGAATCAAATGGATCCAGCCCCTCAGGCCGTCGAATGAATGTATGCTGAATAATTAACCGAATTGGTGTGCCATTAGATGAATAACTCAGCCTGGGAAAGGATTAACCCATTTTACTTGTTTAACTGGGAACGGTAAATGATCAACATATGATAATTGCACTCAATGCATGCTAAATGAATTATGTTATAGATCATTACCCATTAGTTACTTATTTGTGATTGAATGAACTACGCAGAATATAAGTAAACTCATTTATACTCATTACCCACTTATGAATAAGTGAGTTACGCATTACTCATTGAATGAATTACCCAAAATATCAATAAACCATCCACTCATTCATACTCATTTCCCACTTTTGAATAAGAAACATTACCCTTTAGTTACATATTACTGATATAAAGACTTACCCAGAATATCAATAAACCATCAACACCACAAGAAACTCATTAATACTCACACCCAACTCATGAATAAGTAACATTACCCATTAGTTACTCATTACCAGTTGAATGAATTACTCAAAATATCAATAACCTATTCAATGCATAAGGAACCCATTCCCCATCGATTCGATTTCGCTTTTCTTGGGTGGGGACCACCCACTTATTGGCACATGAGCAGGCACCACATGGCAACCATTCGCTCCTTTTGCACCTGCAGGTCAACTTCCTGAACCGCCATGCACCATCCGGGGTCAATTGGTTGGTACGGTGGACGGGTTGGATTACCCAGATGGGCTGGCTCTGTCCGCAGAAAGCAATTTGCTGCTGCCTGCTCCAATGGTAACGAAACCACAAGAATGCCAAAATGTTGTTTTGCGCAGCGGCTGCCAGAGATTGGAATTGGAATTGCTATTGGTATAGGGGAATAGGAATAGGATTTGTGGAACGGGAATGGAGTGGGCCGTTAGAAGCTCAGACCGCAGATCGTCAATAAAACGTAGCCCTCTTCCCATTCACATTCACATTCCCCTTCCCAATCTTCTTCCAAAACCCCTTCCCCATTTGGACAGCTCATTAAAGTCCGTGGAAAGTCAAAGAGTTTGATGTGTACATGGATGTGGGAAGATGTCTTGCACTTGAGCCAACGAACTGGTCTGCGGAATGAGAGCTGTTGTGGCTCGGTTTTATTGGTTCGGTGGTTCGGCGCTTAGTTAAGCGTGTAATGGGCCACTCCAAGGGCGGAAGTAGTAGCCACTGCACCACTGAACCACCTCAACTGTGAGGCACTAACCACTTTCTGGTCCCCCCACTTAGTTCCCTTCTGCCCGTTTTGATCTATGGCTAAGCCTCCTCCATTCAAATGGAGGCTGTCAGCACTGGCAGTTAGAGAAGTGGAACGAAAGGGGCGGAGATTGCTGGTCAGGAAGGTGAGGAAAGGAAGTAGCACTCAACACTTAAGTTCTGGGCAAGAAGATTGGTTCACTTGTAAAGAATGTGCGATCTACTCACTTATATTCCATGGTCTTTAGTACTTTTTGATAGTTCTGTAGGGTTGATATATATTTAGAGCTGTTTCCTTTAAAAATAGTCCATTACTAAACCCTTACTTTGATTTTCCATTTCCAGAACGCAATGCAGTCAGCCGAGAGTAGGAGAAATCCCAACCGATCTTCGGCGCACATGGGTCTCCACATGGGTCCGCTGCTCCTCTCCGCCGTGTTGGTCCTCCTGGTGGCTTTTCCCGGTCAAATCAATGCCCGGATGGCCTTCGAGAAGCTGACGGACTTCGATTTTCCAGGCAACACGTACTACAGCGTGAAGAACCTGTCCCTGTACGAGTGCCAGGGATGGTGTCGCGAGGAGGCGGATTGCCAGGCGGCGGCCTTCAGTTTCGTGGTGAATCCCCTGTCGCCATCGCAGGAGACCCACTGCCAGCTGCAGAACGACTCCTCGGCGGCCAATCCGTCGGCAGCTCCGCAAAGGAGCGCCAACATGTACTACATGGTGAAGTTGCAGCTGCGCAGCGAGAACGTCTGCCATCGTCCGTGGAGCTTCGAGCGGGTGCCCAACAAGGTGATCCGTGGCCTGGACAATGCCCTGATCTACACCAGCACTAAGGAGGCCTGTCTGTCCGCCTGCCTCAACGAGCGCCGCTTCGTCTGCCGATCGGTGGAGTACGACTACAACAACATGAAGTGTGTGCTTAGCGACTCCGACCGACGCAGTTCCGGCCAGTTTGTCCAGCTGGTGGATGCCCAGGGTACGGATTACTTTGAGAATCTCTGCCTGAAGCCCGCCCAGGCCTGCAAGAACACTCGTTCGTTTGGCAATGCCCAAAAGATGGGCGTCTCCGAGGAGAAGGTGGCCCAGTATGTGGGTCTGCACTACTATACCGACAAGGAACTCCAGGTCACCTCCGAGTCCGCCTGCCGTTTGGCCTGTGAGATTGAATCCGAGTTCCTGTGCCGCTCCTTCCTGTACCTGGGCCAACCCCAGGGAGCCCAGTACAACTGCCGACTGTACCACTTGGATCACAAGACCCTGCCCGATGGACCCTCCACCTATTTGAACCACGAGCGCCCGCTGATCGATCATGGCGAGCCCATTGGTCAGTACTTTGAGAATCAGTGCGAGAAGGCCGCCGGTGCGGGAGCTGGTTCTCCGCCCGGAACTCTCGACAAGATCGACACCCTGCCCGTTAGCCTGGACACCATTGAGGACCCCAACCTGACCAACTTGACCCGCAATGACGTCAACTGCGACAAGACCGGAACTTGCTACGATGGTGAGTGTTGATTGAATGTAGAAAGGGATCATTGTCTCATCGATTCGGTTTATTTCCAGTTTCCGTACACTGCAAAGACACCAGGATTGCCGTGCAGGTGCGCACCAACAAGCCCTTCAATGGACGTATCTACGCTTTGGGTCGCTCGGAGACTTGCAACATCGATGTCATCAACTCGGATGCCTTCCGTTTGGATCTGACCATGGCTGGACAGGATTGTAACACACAGAGTGTGGTGAGTAACGAGAGATCATAAGAACTTATGTAGAAAAGCATACTAATCACTTGGCATTCCAGACTGGTGTCTACTCCAACACAGTGGTGCTGCAGCATCACAGCGTGGTGATGACCAAGGCCGACAAAATCTACAAGGTTAAGTGCACGTACGACATGAGCTCGAAGAACATCACCTTCGGCATGATGCCCATCCGCGACCCGGAGATGATCCACATCAACTCGTCGCCAGAGGCCCCACCACCAAGGATCCGCATTCTGGACACACGACAGCGCGAGGTGGAGACTGTGCGCATTGGAGATCGCCTCAACTTCCGCATCGAGATCCCCGAAGACAGTGAGTGTGGAGTATGGAGGGTGTCTCTCAAGGGGCTATCTTATTAATCGGTTTCTCTGTCATATAGCTCCCTATGGCATCTTTGCTCGATCCTGTGTGGCCATGGCCAAGGACGCCCGCACCAGCTTCAAGATCATCGACGACGACGGCTGCCCCACCGATCCCACCATTTTCCCCGGCTTCACCGCCGACGGCAATGCCCTGCAGTCCACATACGAGGCCTTCCGGTTCACGGAGAGCTACGGTGTCATCTTCCAGTGCAATGTCAAGTACTGTCTGGGTCCCTGTGAGCCGGCTGTGTGCGAATGGAACATGGAGTCGTTTGAATCCCTGGGCAGGAGGCGTCGTCGTTCCATCGAGAGGTAAGTTAGGGTTCACCATTAAGGGTGCTCAAAAATCTGCGCTTAAAAGTATGCAACGGCATGATATAACTCTCTGTTTCATTCCATTTGTTCCAGCAATGAGACCAAGAGCGAGGACGATATGAACATCTCCCAGGAGATTCTGGTCCTGGACTTTGGCGATGAGAAGCGCGAGTTCTTCAAGGCGGATCCCAGCACGGACTTTGCCAAAGGTGAGTGTGGAAAAGTGCATTTGATCTCTCAGTGCTGACTGTACATCCATTCCATTCCATTTCGTTCCGCAGACAAAACGGTCACCATCATCGAGCCCTGCCCCACGAAGACATCGGTGCTGGCCCTCGCGGTCACCTGTGCGCTGATGATCCTGCTCTACATCTCCACCTTGTTCTGCTACTACATGAAGAAGTGGATGCAGCCCCACAAGATCGTAGCATAAGTGGAACGAGCGGAATCTGAAAGAAGAAGCGATAGAACGAAAGAAGAAAAGAAAAAAAACAAGAAAGAAAAGAAAACAAAAAGAGAATACACAACAAAATTGTCACTTGCACACACATACGCTCTCTCTCTCTCACACACACACACACACATAGACACTCTAACTCTATATCTTTGTCTCGCTCTTGCCCAGGCGGGCTTAGCCCCTCCCACTCACCCACACTACTGACAACCGTATAATTTTTTGTTTTTTTTTTTTTAAACGATATACATATAAATTAATTACTTAATATACAATTTATTTATTTATATTTATTTAGACTTAGAGCGTGAGATACAAATTCCCTTGAGAGCAATGAATAGAAAACGATTTCCTAGTAGACACATACACACACACGAGCACATTTCACGTATGCGAATTAGTAAGAGAAAAAACGATGAAAAGAAAAAAGCAAGAAGGAAAAAAGCTGCGAGCGCGTACTTTCTATAAAGTTACGAAAGGGAACAACGGGAATGGAGCATTGTCCTTGCCAGAAAAAGAGAGAGAGAAAGAGAGAGAGAGCGCGAAAAAGAGGGCAGATAAGTGGGAGAGAGAGAAACAAGGACAATGTATCATGATCCCTTTTGTAACTTCTATAGAGACTGCAGCCGCACACACTCGCACTCAAACACACACACTCACCCACACACTCACCCGTTTCCACACTCATTCACACACACCCACACACGCACTCACATTTATTTAATTGTAAACTGAACGCAATAAACAGCAAACAAGAGCAATCAAAACGGAACTAAGGATAACTGATCGAAGAAGCAGAGACAAGAAAAGTAATTTCATCGATAGCAAATCAATGGAATTGTGCTTAATTGTATTGCATTTATTTAATTTAAATTTATTTATGATAATAAAGAAACGATAATGACATATTTGAACCATTTTTTGTATCTTTGAACAAAGCACTGATTTTTCCATAATTTTCCAGCAAATAATTTTTTGAACATTTTTTGCGTTTGCATTTTGCATTGCTCGTCGATAAAATGGTCACATTTCTTGATTTCTTAATTTCAGGCACCAGGCGAACATAAACGTTAAGTAGGTGTAAAACAAACAGCTGATTAGCTTATTCTAAGCTTACTTAGAGATGCTCTCGTGATTTCTTCCCTTTGGCACGGCCTAAGCAAATACATAGGACTTAACTGTTACTTCTTGCATATCGTGACAAGATCGTGAAACAGCCATGGTTGCCCATCTCTAGTCTGCTTTTGGCTCACAACTAACTGTTCTTTCCCAAGGAGATCGATCCCTATTGGTCAAAAGGGGGTGAGGAAATATAGAAAGGGCCGCCATCTTGAATATTGACAGTTATTTAGGTTCACTTCATGCTACAAGCTGTCACTTGCTAAGTTTTCTGTTCGCCTGGTGTCTGAGACCCATAAATCCAGCACTTTGACTGAAAATATGTTACGAATCCTTTCAATTTGTTGAAGTAAATTAGCGATTTTTCATTTTCAAACACCAGGTGAACAGGAAAATTCGTAGGTGGCCAACGATTAGTTTTTAAGACTTTACTAGAGGTGTGCCATTTCAAAATATGTAAGGCCTTTTGTTGCCGAGCAAGCGATTGCGCATCTCTAGTCTGCTTAAACTAAACTAACGGTGTCCTTCCATTAAAAAAATTGTTAACGCCCATCAGCCACTTGCTACGGGTTATGTTGGCCTGGTGTCAAAGATCAAGAAATTTAATTTCAGACCTCATCGAAATGTCAATTCATAGAAATCATAAAACCAAAATACCTTCTTTGCTCGCCGAAAAATGGTCAGATTTCTTCATTTCTTAATTTCAGACACCAGGCGAACATAAACGTTTAGTAGGTGTAAAACGATCAGCTGATTAACTTATTCCAAGCTTACATAGAGATGCCCTCGTGATTTCTTCCTTTTGGCTCGGCCTGAGCAAATGCATAGGACTTAACTGTTACTTCTTGCATATCGTGACAAGCTCGTGACAAGATCGCGACACACTCGTGACAAGCTCCTGACAAGGCCATGGATGCTCATCTCTGGTCTGCGTTTGGCTCACAACTTACGGTTCTTTCCCATGGAGATTGATTCCTATTGGTCAAAAGGAGGTGGGGAAATACGGAAAGGGCCGCCATCTTAAAAATTAACAGGTATTTAAGTTCACTTGCTTAAAGTACCAGCTGCCACTTGCTAAGTTCTCTGTTTGCCTGGTGTCTGAGAGCCACAAACCCAGCATTTTGACTGAAAAAGTGTTACGATGCCTTTCAATAGTTGAAGTAAATGGGCGATTTTTTCAATTTCAAACACCAGGTAAACAGGAGAATTAGTAGGTGGCCAACGATCAGTTTGTAGGGCTTTACTTATTCTAAGCTAATAATCCCAATCATTTTAAAGGAAATTTATTTTTTGACCCATTTTTCCATTTTTTATAAGGGGTTGCATCATCTAATTTTGGGATTCAGATTTTGGTCAAAAATACTCATTTTTTAACGGTTTTTTAATCGTAGTTTGGCCAAATGAAGACGTACAGCCAAAAGACCGACAGTTTTGAGCAGCTAACATCCTAGGCTAACAGATTCAATTACTTTAAGAGAAATTTATTTTTTGACCCATTTTTCCATTTTTTGTAAGGAGTTGCATCATCTATTTTTGGGATTCAGATTTTGGACAAAAATACGCATTTTTTAACAGTTTTTTAATCGTAGTTTGGCCAAATCAAGACGTACAGCCAAAAGAGCGACAGTTTTGAGCAGCTGACATCCTAAGCTAACAATCCCAATCATTTTAAAGGAACTTTATTTTTTGACCCATTTTTCCATTTTTTATGAGGGGTTGCACCATTTTTTTTGGAATTCAGATTTTGGTCAAAAATACTCATTTTTTAACAGTTTTTTAATCGTAGTTTGGCCAAATCAAGACGTACAGCCAAAAGAGCGACAGTTTTGAGCAGCTGACATCCTAAGCTAACAATCCCAATCATTTTAAAGGAACTTTATTTTTTGACCCATTTTTCCATTTTTTATGAGGGGTTGCACCATTTTTTTTGGAATTCAGATTTTGGTCAAAAATACTCATTTTTTAACGTTTTTTTAATCGTAGTCTATACAACTCAAGGCGTACAGCCAAAAGAGTGACAGTTTTGAGCAGCTAACATCCTAGGCTAACAGATTCAATTACTTTAAGAGAAATTTATTTTTTGGCAAATTTTTCCATTTTTTATAAGGGGTTGTATCAGTTTTTAGTCAAAAACTCTCTTTTTTTTATCGGTTTTTCAGTAATACATATTTTAAAGTTATAGTGCCAACTTATTGCTTATATGTTTTGTAGATTGTAGAAGTTTTGTTAGAATTTTCTTTATTTTTTTAAATTATATTGTATAAATGCGGGCTTTATTCATAATTAATCGCTAGACAAATATTAAGATCTAACAATCTGATGAGGACGGAGTCTGTTTAAGTTGAAAACTTTATTGTTACAATATTGTTACTATTCTGCTTATACTATATCTGAATTCATCAACGCGATTCAATTAATAATTCGGTTTTAGTTGTGAATTCTAAATATGTCCCAAGCAAAACAATATGTCCTTTTAAGCTGAATGAATGATATTGACGTAAAACCAATTCATGATTTTCACAACAAATCAAATGTTTCAAAAATTTTAGTAATTTCGGTAAGAAAATTCAGAGGACATATAACTTATTACCATATAATCTTGAAGATGGAATACTTCTGCAGTATATTGTAATTTTCACAATGTACGAATCAATTTAAATTAAGAAATCTTCATAAAAGTGGTAAAAAGGCAAGTTCCTGAATCTCTGGGGCATAATATACTGAGATACTTAAGAAATCCACCTATATACCAAAATTTGTAGTTTTACATGTTTTTCGGAGCAAATTTGCTCAGATTTGAGGAATTCGGATAGAAGAGATTTCTGGGTCACCCCTGATTGCAATACCTAGGCTAAGCTACAAGCTAAGATGAGTGACGGGTGGATAATATCCCCTCCACGGGGATACCTCTCGCGTCCTCTTGCACATGGAAGTCCTTAGTTACTATTTACTGAGCTGGCTTCGCCGGTGGAAGGTGGCATTGGTGGTGGGCCAATGTGTCCGTGTCCAGGAGGTCCGAGGTCACCTCAGCCGCAGTGGCTTCACTTCAGCCAATCCGTGTTCCGGGGCTCGGGACTTGGCCGCCGCCACGCAGGTCTCCTTGAGCGACTTGCCCGCCGGCCGTTTGACGCACTCATCGAAGTAGCACTTCTCCACGTTGTGCAGGAACTCCACCAGCAGGCGGTCGTCGCCGCCATTGGGTCCCACGGAGTACTCGCACTCGTAGCTGTGCTGCTTGAGATCCCGCACACAGCAGTCGATGAACTCCGCATTGGCGGAGAACCAATCGTTGTGCCGCTCCAGGGGAATGCCCAAACGAGTGCGCACCACCCCCGTCAGCCAGGTGTCGTCGATCCAGAAAAAGGACGCCCTCTCCGCCTCGGCGGCAATCCTCTCGGCCGTTGGCACATTGGTCACATACATCCAGCCGGACAAATAGGCGGGATACAAGGCATGTGGATACTCCTTTTTGCTGACATACCACTTGTTGGCAAGCAGGCGAATCGGTGGCTTGGCATCCAGTACATAGCCCGATAGCAGAGTGCTGGAGGTGGCCAGTCCAGGTTGACCCACTTCCAGTGCCTCCAAGTACCTGCGCAGATGGAAGATATCGTAGATGATGTCGTCGTCCAGTTTGATGATGAACTTGGCATGGTTCCTGCACTCCTGCGAGGCCCACTTCAGGCCCATTACGTGTTTGTAGCTCAGATTGCGATAGTCCTCGATGAAGTTGCCCTGGACAAGATCCCCGAAGCGCTGCTGTTCGCTGGCCAGCTGCTCCTGGCTGATGAAACGCTCTCGCGCGGGCAGGGCGGCCAGCAGGAAGACCCGCTGCAGGCCCATCTCGGCCAGCTTGCTCTGGGGAATCGCCTGACGGTGGGCAGATCGCAGGGCATCGTGTCCAGCATAAGAGGTGACTATCAGAATGGCTGTGGAGGAGGAGGAGTAATGGGTTTATAAGGTTTTTCCAGCATTTTCAGTGAACCACTCACCTAGGAGTTCCCTTTCCGCCTTGCGGCACACATTGCTGGCCAGCAGGTACTGGAAATCCGTGAGATTCAGGAGAGGATTGGCTGGCTTCGGCTGAGGATTGGGGTTAGGTGGCTCCTCCTCCGCTTCGGGGGGCAAGTGCAGCAGGAACTGGTCGACGGGCGACTCCCTGGACTCCCGCAGGTGACCCGAAAAGTAGCACAGGCTCAGCAGGACGATCAAGAGTAGCGACAAAATAATCGGAAGCAATCTTCGTCCGCGCATGCGCATCTTTCTCACATTCTACGTGGGATTCCCCTCGCCCGTGCCGACTGTACTCTGTGTTTCTGTGTGTGTGTGCCTGCAGGTGTGTGCTATAATTAATAACGACAATAATATCACTGGGCAGGTATTAATAAACAACAATAACAACAAAGAGCTGTTTTTTTTAATAATTATTTTCACGCCTTTGCCAGTGTGCACACACCCAAAAAAAAGTTAGCACAGACAGCAACCAAAAGGTCTTCTTTGAATGTCTCCGCTAACTCAGCAAGTCCCTGGTTCTGGTATATTTTACGATTTAAAAGCGGTATTTAAATCGGATGGTATTATTTATCGATATTTTCGCGGTCACACCGGCCCCAGTTGTTGTGTTCTTGTTGTTGTTCTCTCTCTCGCAGAATCTTGCATCTCGCTTTTTATTGACACTTACGCTGATGCTGTCTCCCTTTTTACTGACACTTACGGTGGCTTACGTTTGTTTACGTTTGCTGACACTTACGTTCTTACACAAATTGTGTGTAAAGTGTAAAAATGAAAGAAATGTAAACAAACCTGCGATTTAAAAACTAATTTAGAAACTTTAAAATAATATCGGTTGCAGTTTCAAAAAAGAAAAATTAGTAGACCGGAGTATTCCTCTCCGATTGTTTTACTAAAAAAGAGATCGGGGGATCTTAGACTGTGCATAGATTCCCTTTAATTATGACCTCTTAGGTAAATTGATGGGGAAATCAGTATTTACAAAATTGTACCTTAAAATGGCTACTTTCATTTTTTTGTTAACAAAGAGTCGGTGAAATATACATCATATTTTACGAATGCCGATGGGACTAACTCTATATAATTATCGGAGTTGCCAGATCGATAGAAATACATAAATACGTCTAACTTCTAACAATTTGTTTTTATATTCAGTGGCTATGGAAATTAATTTGCAAGTTTTATTTTGACAAAAGAAAAAATGTAATACTAGTTAGCACACACTTTTCCTTTAATACAAACCAGCTTACCCCAGGCGAATGGAATAAAGTAATCGGTTTAATAATCGGTCACACCTTTTTCCGCCGGTCCGTCATCTCTGTCAGCTGAGATTGAATAAATGCATTAATAAATGCAAAAATGTCGCAAAAACAGGAGCAGATTCAATTTTACGCTTTAAAGCAATCATGAAACCCCGAGCATAAACATAGTATATATCTTGCAGTGTATTTGTATCTTTCAGTTTGTTTTGTGCGCGCGCGGTGAACGGTTGTTTCTGTTGTTTCTCGGCTCCTCGCGGTGTGCGTGCGTGTGCGTGCGTCACCAACACAACGACGGTGTGTGTGTGTGCGTGTGCTTTTCTTAATATTTTTTTTGTTAATAATAATTCTTCTGAACCTGCGGGCTATGCCGAAGAAGAAGCCAAAGAAAGTGAGAGCCAGAAAGTGTCGCGGAATTGCGCCTGCGAATACTTCAGCTTAACAATTCCAAAATCACACAGAAAAGTGACTGCAGCAGCAGCAGTAGCAACAACAACAACGGTCTAGGTGGTGAAGAGAGAAAGAGAGAGGGCCATATTCGAACAGCATGTGAGCTAATCAGCAAAGCAGCGATTTCTACAAACATTTTCTGCTTCTTAAGGCCACCAAAAAAAAAAAAAACGAAGAAACTCGAAGAAGAAGTGCTACAAATTATTAATAATTTAGTTAATGATTTATTTAAGTGACGTCGCGTGTTTTTTGTTTTGCCCAATAAGAAACAACAACAACAAAGGAGTGACCGTAAGGGGAGAGAGGGAGAGCAGGAAAAAACAGTTAACTTTGTGGCCACCAAAAAGCGCAGTGGGAAAGAAGAAAACGGGAAAAAAGATTGTGATTGTGGAGCTCTCGATATTGATATTTAGTATTGAAATTGAATCATTCGCATTTTGAACAAGAAAAATCGTGTAAAAATAGTGAAAAAATCCAAGAGAACATAAAGGCACTGGCGCTGCTGCTGCGCTGCCACAGAGGCAGCAATCTTATCGCCTAAAAAAAAAATACATATAATATTCCAGACCCCAAAACTGATGAGGGTTTCTTTCGATGGTCTAACCATGGAATATTGATTCCAATAACCGCGAAAAAAACAAAGAAAATCAAGGGAAACACCAAGTGAAAAGCGGAAAAACAGTAGCTGCCAAGATGACGGACTTTGTGGAGCTGCTGAACAGCATGTCCAGCACTTTCAACAGCGACTGTGCCACCTCCACGGCGGAGGGGGGCACGCTCCTCAATCTGGATTTGGCCGAGGATAAAACGCTCAAGTGGCGCAATTTGGCCAATAATCAGTTCGCCTGCAAGGACAAGAAGCACAAGGAGAAGGAGGACAAGGAGGAGGAGAGAGAGAGCAGGAAGGAGGAGGAGGAGGAGGAATCCAAAAATCTGGATGAAATCGAGGATATTAAGGGTCTACTGGCGGATGTTGTGGATGCGGCGGCTGTCAAATTGGAGGAAGAGGAAGCAGCTGCAGCGGAGGCAGCCCAGAATGCCGAAAAAGTGGAAGAAGAGAGCGCTGAAAAACAACAACAACAACACAAGGAAGAAGTAGTAGAACAAGGAGAAGAAGAAGCAGAGGAAAAGTCCTTGGCAAAGGAAGAAGAAGAGCAGGAAAAGGAGGTGCAGCAGAAAGAAGAAGAAGGAGAAGCAGCAGCGGAATCAGCGGAGGTGGCAACAGCCGAAAAACAGGAAGCAAGTGCAGAATTAGCAACAACAACAACAGCAGCGGCAGAGGCAGAGGCAGCAGCAACAACTACAACAATTGAGGCGGCAGAGGCAGCATCTCCACTTGTTGTTGAGGCAGCGGCAGCAGCTGATAAAAATGTGAGTAAATGTGTGTGAGTGCGTGCTGGTGTGCGTGTGAGCTTCGAAATTCTTGCTTGTTTTTTTTTTTTTTTTTGGTTTAATTTAGAAGTTGTTAACCCTTGACTGGCCCAGCTATTTTAGTGGCATTATCAGTTAGTTTGGCAATAAAAAAGTTTTTACAAACTAAACAACATAAATAATCTAAATCTCAAGCAAAACAGTAACTGCATTAAGTGTTAGGGGGGTTCGTGCCCCCCCTTCATTTTATAGGTCTGCAATTTCTCCTTATCTATATCCTATATTTAAATGTCACATTTGCTATTCAACAGATGTGCCATTGTTAATTTTTATCGTCGCCTAGGAAAAAGCTTCGGTATTGAGTAAAAAAAATTTAACTATGTAGAGCTTTTAAGCTTTGCATTTTGCCTTAATTTATACAAATGATTTACAGTCAAGTTAACACACCTCCCCAAACTCGAACTCCCCAACTTACTTCTATGCCATTTCAACTTGAGACTTTGGCTCACTTTTGATTCCTAATCATTATCTAGGAGCAGATAACGAGTTTCTGTTAAACTATAACTCATCACTTGGGTGAATAGTTACGTTAATGACCGGAAAACATATAAAACCTTTTACCCGGCAAACTGTAATAAAGTAAAAGCTGTAATCATGAAGAAAATCGAGTTTCTGTTCTTCAAAATGTTTTATGATCATACAAAAGCTTCTTATCTATCATACTAAAATATAGATAGGTTTCTTGCTTACAACTCATTATTGATTGTATGATATGGTCGAGATCTTTGAGTTCATTGAGGGAAAAGATGTATCTATTATCATCATTAACCCCGAATTCGAAATGATAATATAGTTAAGGTACCTGATATAGCTTGTGATTGGTATTTACAGATCCCATAAATATATTTTTCCGTTAGTTGTTCCTAAAAATAACCAGAGAAAGGGAAGAAAAATATTAAAACTCATATTTCGCTTCAGCCAAATATGCAAATAATTAACAAATGCATATGATAATTGACTTAAATTAGTGTTTTGATAAAAAATAAACGAAAGCGAACTTTAACAATTAATAAAGTAAATTTTACGATTCAGAATAGAAAGGGATAAATCAATTAGTTTGAGAGGAGTGGGGAAATGATGCCCTACAATAAAATAATAATCTCTCAATTTGGCTTTAGATAATACCGCTCAAACCGGAACGATATATCAAGTTATCGGTTATTTGGGCATTCTCCCAAGCGATCCTAAACAAAATTAGCCAACATAGCTTTTTTCCGGGTGGTATTATGTTGAATTCCCATTAAAGTATAAACAAGTTCCCTCGAACGATAAACAGGAAGATGAAAGCAAATAAATAAATAGTTTGCCGTACTTAAAGAGGGATTGGATTCACATTTCTCTGAACTTAAACTTATGGCATCCATTCATGAGACTATTTATTAACCTTCCATTCATCCTTTTGGCCAGCTGGCACCGTGTGTTTGGTAGAACCAGTTGTCTTGGCAACCGACGAAGCCATTCGAAGCATTCCTTCAGGGCTGGTCCTTCTGGACAGTATATATTCAATATCTGATACTGAGGATTTGCTGAATGAGTGTCTGTATCTTGCAGGAACAAGTTTCGCCAGGCGGTACGCGGCGCTCTCGGAGAACCCCTCGGCCTACAGACACGTCCACGCCCACGCCCAGTGCCACGCCCACGCCAAACACCGATGAGCCTGCTCAGGTGGAGATTACAGAACCCGAGCCGCAAGTGACGGAGCTGCACGTGGAGGTTAATTGTCGTCTGGAGGTGCCAGCACTGGAGGAGATTACAGCAGCTGTTGGTCTAGAGGTGAAGAAGGAGCCGGAGAAACCGTCTCCAATGACTACTTCATCCCCCGAAGAGAACACAGCACCTGCTCCCAAACGAGGAAGGGGTCGAGCCAAGAAAATACGACCAGAAGCCGAGGTGGCGGTGGACTCCAATGAAGTTCTGCCCCTGGGCGAGGATTCGGTGGTGGAGAAGAAGCCGGGACGCAAGAGGAAGATGCCGGATGAACAGCTGGAACATGCGCAACTCGGCGACCTTGTTGTGGTGAAAACCGAGCAGGAGGAGTTGTTGGGAGATGCTCCCTCGGGCGACGGCAAGAGGATGCGTCGCAGTGTCCGGCTGGGCAATCGATTGCCCGCCGATGGGAGCACCTGGGAGGAGGTGAAGACCGAGCCCCTTTCCCACCAGCAGCCGCCTGCAGAGCTCTCCTTGATGGAGGTCACCCCGGTGCCCTTGCCACCAGCCGTGCTGGATGAGAAGACGCCACCAAAAAAGCGAGGACGCAAGGCCAAGATTCAGCCCGGTGCGAAATTGGAGCCGGGATCCTCCTCCGCACTCCCTCCCCTAACCAATGGCAACAAGAAAACGACTCCCACTGGAGGAGCCGACTTGCAACTGCCCAAGCGTTCGAAGCGGAGAATCAAACCGACGCCAAAAATTCTGGAAAACGATGAACTGCGCTGTGAGTTCGAAACGAAGCACATTGAGCGAATGACCCACTGGGAGAGTGCAGCAGCTGCAGCGGCAGATGGAGAGTTTGAGACTCCACCAACGGGCGGAGGTGGCTCCAATTCGTCAACCTCGAGGCAAAAGAGTGACAAGTCCGATGGCAGCAACTTCGAAGGAGGTCCGGGACATCCAGCTGGCACAAGTGCCATCAAGAAGCGACTTTTCTCCAAGTCCCAGCGTGACATTGAAAACTATGGAGCAGCCATGCTGGCCAAGAGCAAGGTGCGCCCGTGTCCGGATGTGGAGCAGTTCCTCAGCGACATCAAGGCGTCGCGCATCAATGCGAACCGATCTCCGGAGGAGCGGAAGCTGAACAAGAAACAGCAACGGAAACTGGCCAAGCAGAAGGAGAAGCACCTGAAGCATCTGGGACTGCAGAGAAATCACAGCGAGGAGGCCTCGGACAACGACAGCTCCAACACGGACAATGAGTTTGTGCCCACGACAAGGGTGCAGGTGGGGAAACCAAGTGTTACTTTGAGGGTAAGGAACACGGTTACCAAGGAGCTGCCCACAACATCAGCAGCTGCCCAGAAATCATTATCCCGCAATCCAGTTGTGCAGCCAGCTAAGCTGACGAGAAGAGTGGGCGGAAGGGGAGCCGGAGGCGGAACTGTGGCAGCCGGAGCTGGAGTATCCGTTTCCACCCTCGATGCAGAACAGCTTCACTCGCTGAACACCTCGATCCTGGCCGATGTTACGCCCATCAGGGACTTGGATGCCAGGCCCAGCACCTCCAAAACGGCCAAGTTCATTTGTCTGTGCCAGAAGAGTTCCCAGTACTATGCCAGGAATGCGCCGGATTCCTCCTACTGCTGTGCCATCGATCACATTGACGAGCAGAAGATTGGCTGCTGCAACGAGCTCTCCTCGGAGGTTCACAATCTTTTGAGACCCAGCCAAAGGGTTAGCTACATGATCCTGTGCGACGAGCACAAGAAGCGCTTGCACTCGCACAATTGCTGTGCAGGATGTGGCATCTTTTGTACACAGGTAAGAACCACATCTGTTTGATTAACCACAAAAAGAATACTTATATTCTTTCTCTTTAAGGGCAAATTTGTGCTGTGCAAGCAGCAGCACTTCTTTCACCCGGATTGTGCCCAGCGTTTCATTCTGAACACTCCCTACGAGGAGGGTCGTGGCGATCGGGAGGATCAAGGAGCCAAGTTCAGCAGTCCCATGTTGGTACTCAAGTGCCCGCACTGCGGACTGGACACACCCGAGCGCACCTCCACGGTGACCATGAAGTGCCAGTCGCTGCCCGTCTTTCTGCCCACCCAGAAGTACAAGATGTAAGTTGATTTTATCAGGGATTGGTTTTAGCTACAATATTGTCGAACAAACGACTAATTTCCTGTACCATCCACACAGCAAACCCGCCAAGCTGACTACCTCCTCGCATCTGGCTCAATTTGGAGCCGCTGGAAAGGCCAGCAGTCCAGGTGCCAAGGCCAAAAGCAAGGGGGGATCTTCCGCCGCCGGCGCAGCGTCCTCCTCCTCCGTCTCGAAGACAAATGGCACCCAAAGAGGCAAGGCGGGCAGTTCAAACTCGAGCTCCAGCCAGGCTCTTAACACGATCAACTTTGCGCAGTTGATTCCAGACTCCGTGATGAATGTGGTACTACGTGGCCATGTGGTTTCGGCCAGTGGACGCGTGACCACGGAGTTCACCTCACGGGATATGTACTATGCGGTCCAGAACGATGATTTGGAGCGAGTGGCGGAGATTCTGGGTGAGTTGGTTGGGTTGCCTTCCCCATTTATCTTTAACTCAACTTATTTGCTATTTTGTTCTTTTGCAATAGCTGCCGACTTCAATGTGCTGACACCTATTCGGGAGTACTTGAATGGCACCTGTCTGCATTTGGTGGCCCACTCGGGCACTCTCCAGATGGCATACCTGCTGCTCTGCAAGGGAGCCAGCTCACAGGATTTCGTCAACATTGTGGACAGCGAACTGCGGACGGCATTGATGTGTGCAGTAATGAACGAGAAGTGCGACATGCTCAATCTCTTTCTGCAATGTGGAGCCGATGTGGCCATCAAGGTTGTTATTCCTGCCTGCGTCAAAGAATCTTTGGTCATTCTAATATATGCATCTTCCAAAGGGTCCCGATGGCAAGACATGTCTGCATATTGCAGCCAAGTTGGGCAACGTGGAGGCCACTCAGCTGATTGTGGAGAGCTATCGAGCCTCGCGGAATATCACCAGCTTTCTGAGCTTTATCGATGCCCAGGATGAAGGCGGTTGGACGGCCATGGTGTGGGCAGCGGAGCTGGGACACACGGATATCGTTAGGTAGGTTTATCCTTAAGCTGGCCACTCGAAGCTGTTTAATACTCTGTTCCTCCACAGCTTCCTGCTCAACCAGGAGGCCGATCCGAACATCTGCGACAATGACAACAACACGGTGCTGCACTGGTCCACGCTACACAACGATGGTCTGGACACGATTACGGTGCTGCTGCAAGCGGGAGCGGACTGTAATGTGCAGAATGTGGAAGGGGACACTCCACTGTGAGTATAGCTAAGTCCATTAATGAGTAAGGAGTAATCAGGAGTATGATTTCCAGCCACATTGCCTGTCGTCACTCGGTCACCCGAATGTGCATCGCATTGATTGCCAATGGAGCGGATCTGATGATCAAGAACAAGGCGGAGCAGCTGCCCTTCGACTGCATCCCCAATGAGGAGTCTGAGTGCGGCCGCACCGTGGGTTTCAACATGCAGATGCGCAGTTTCCGACCGCTGGGCCTGCGTACCTTTGTGGTTTGCGCGGACGCCTCCAATGGCCGGGAAGCACGACCCATCCAGGCGGTGCGCAACGAACTGGCCATGTCCGAGAGCGAGGACGAGGCCGATTCGCTTATGTGGCCGGACTTTCGCTACGTGACCCAGTGCATCATCCAGCAGAATTCGGTGCAGATCGACCGGCGCGTCTCCCAGATGCGCATCTGCTCCTGCCCGGATAGCTGCAGCAGCGATCGGTGCCAGTGCAACGGAGCCTCTTCGCAGAACTGGTACACGGCGGAGAGCCGCCTCACCGCCGACTTTAATTACGAGGATCCGGCGGTGATCTTCGAGTGCAACGACGTCTGCGGCTGTAATCAGGTGAGCGGGAGGAGTTTTTTTGACCTTTTCAGAAATTATGTACTGACTATCTCATCTTATTGCTGCCACAGCTCTCCTGCAAGAACCGCGTGGTGCAGAATGGCACGAGGACTCCGCTGCAGATCGTCGAGTGCGAGGAGCAGGCCAAAGGCTGGGGAGTCCGGGCGCTGGCCAATGTGCCCAAGGGCACCTTTGTGGCCAGCTACACGGGTGAGATTCTCACCGCCATGGAGGCCGATCGGCGCACCGATGACAGCTACTACTTCGACCTGGACAACGGGCACTGCATCGACGCCAACTACTATGGCAATGTGACCCGGTTCTTTAACCACTCGTGTGAGCCAAATATTTTGCCAGTTCGCGTTTTCTATGAGCACCAGGATTACAGATTCCCCAAGATCGCCTTCTTCGCATGCCGCGACATCGATGCCGGAGAGGAGATATGGTGAGTCGATCTTACGTATTGGTTGATCCAAATTTATGGCTAAGGAAACAGCTAACTAAACCTTAAATATATATTACCTAGTTTTTGTAATATAATAAACATTTGTATACAACCTTACATACGTTTAAGTAAGTTTTTTGAATACAACTTTAAGTTAGATTAAAACGTTGTCTTTTTCCCTTATATTTTTACTGGGTCGCCAATTGATCAAATTATTGACCAATTCTTTTTCATAAACCCAATTGAACTATTTCTTCCCCAATTAAAAAAACTTAAAAAGCCTATGATGGGGTAGAAATAGTTAATAAAATAAACATTAAAATTAAAATGGCATGGTTCAATTATCATGTTACACAGAAGCTGCTAATTATTGCCACCAAAAATTTGTCTTGATTGTTTTTCATTAATTACTTTCATTTCTTTCTTTTCAGCTACGACTATGGGGAGAAGTTCTGGCGCGTGGAGCACCGCTCCAGTGTGGGCTGTCGCTGCCTGACGGCCTCCTGCAAGTACGCCTCCCAATCCTCAAGCACAAATGCCTCGCCCACGGATGCAGCGACTGCAGCGGAACCGGAAACGGAAGCGCAGCTATCTGCAAATGCCTCGGAGGAGATGGATCAGGCGTAGGCCACCACGACCAGGACCAGAACCTCAACTCGAAATGATTCCAGACTCGTCAGTCTCAGCCGACACAACAGAATCCCCACCAAGCCACATACATCAGACATCACAGCACCAGCAGGAACGATCGCCATATATGTAGTATATATCATATAGTACGCATGATAAATCGAAATCGAAATCGGAGCCCCAGGAGGGGCCCTCTTCTTCGACTGCCAAATGTTTCATGGTTTACAAATTTTTGTCTATTTTTACGTATACAATTAGTGTTTTGTTTATTATTAATTTTGTTTGAGTTTTATTCATTTGTTTACCTTACCCCCTTATTATTAATATTTTTATTACCGCTACCTGTAATCACCCATTATTATTTTTATGTTATTTACGAGAAACTAACTAATATGAGAACTCCCATTTCCCCTTCCGACGTTTTGGGTGTGCGTGTGCGAAATGTAATGTTCAAAACTTAAAACTAGACTTAGGGATTACCAGGATAATGGAGGAACATAGTGGCGGAGAAGTGCATCTAGTCATAAGAACGAGGGAGACAGAGGTTTAAAAATAGAAAGAGCAGAAAAACTGGTTCGAGGGAATTGTCTAAATACAGTGTTTTTTTTATAGTTGTATTAGCCTGTTTAATAAACCAGTGTAATCTTCACTAGGTTTGCCCCTCATTTTAACCACACAAATCTGTTTAGAGAGATTGGAAACAATTTAACGAAAATATTGATCGTTAAAGTGCACTGTACTGAGCGCGTGAATGTAACAATAAACCGAAAGCAAACGAGGAATTATTAAACAGAAAATATGTTTTTGATATCGAACATTGATTAAGACTAGCATATAGCTGATAAGCTAAAGAAAACAGTGTCTATACAACCATATATTATATATATTTAACATATATATGTCTTTGTGCAGGGTAAAGTACTGATAGTCGTTAACGCAAAATAAGTTGAAGTTGTTTTGTATTTAGCCAGGCCCACTGACACACACACGCACACGCACCCAACTGGACACCAACTCCTCCTCCAATCCAATCCAAATTCGTAAGCATTTTATTGCACAATTCGTATTAGTGTTTTTTTTTTAGTTTGCCAAGCAACGTTAGCCAAGCCACAAGTGCCTCAAAGAGAATAGTACCCTAGCCCTAACCCTAAACACGCCCTAGAAAACTCCCGAAATGGCTTCAGACCAACATGGTTATTATACAGGAACTTTCTATCCAGCTATCACCCGACCAAGATCACAAACTGCAATGCATTTTGGGACACGACCCTTCGATAGTCGACAGAGCATTGAAACGAAGGACTGCGGCCTACTTAATGTGTGAGCCCCTCCGATTCCGATCGTATATATTTTAGGGACCCCAACCCTCGTAGCATATCCCCGCGTCTAACGATCCCCCCGTGTGTGCTATATAGACTTGGATATCGGGCTATACACTTCGATGTGTGTTTTGCGTCTATAGGTGTAAGGTGTAAATGTTTGTAACGACAATATAGGATGTAGGTATGTAGCTTAAGATGTAGGTTATCCATCTCCCCACTCACCAAATCCCCTTCCCCCCCCCAGCCACAAGGTCAAGGGCCAAAGGGCATAGGACGCCCCCCTGCGACCTTTCTACTGGTATTTCTATACGTATTTGTGTACCTACGATAAGCAACAAGATTTATAATGAATATGTACGGTTTCGATGTCCCCGGGTTTATTGCATCCGGATCGGATCACACTTAGAAATTATAGCATAACTCACAAAAAAAACACGTATGTTCTTAATTTTAATTGTTATCGCGGACAGCCATCAAGCTGTCATCTTATTTGTTTTGTTTGCTTCGATTCGCTTATTTTTTTGCCAAGACATTTCTTTAGTTGTTTAACCAAAAATTGCTGATCAGTTGGAAAATCGAAAATTTACCTCCGTGGGAGACACTATTTTTTTGCAATTACGTTAACGTTTAGCCATAAGATATTAAATCAATCAAATAAACAATAATTACGAACAGCAAAAGTGTTGCGATAAATAAAAAATATCATCAGTGTGTAGAAAAAATTGTGTTTTTCAAAGTCTTATTAAGGAATAGAAGGCTTTCTGGGGTTATTAAAATAAAAACAAAACCAAAAAGTTTAATTTTAAATTTTAAATTGGCGCGCCAAAAGTATGGCTTTGCAGTGTTGCCACATGCTTAAATGTTTACTGAAAGTTATCGGACAGAACAGCTGATTTTTTGTTTTGTAATATTTGAGGTTGGTTTCTGTGTTCTCCTGCTATTTTCTTAAATTAAATTGTTGAATGGTGTGTTTTTTCTGTTAAAGCGGTTTCAAAGACCTGAAGAGTTGGATCTCTAGCGTAAATTCAGTCGAATTCCCATTGACAGCGAAGAGGAGTGGAAGAAACCCCAAGTAACCGGAAACCGGTTCGGCAAAACCATCGAGAAATCACTGCCCCAAGCAGCAGGAATATGAGTTTCCCGGACAAAGCTGAGCGCACCAAGTGCTGGAGCAACCGGGACGAGTACTGGAAGTGTCTGGACGAGCACGCTCCCAAGCACAGCTGCACCAGCGGGGAGAAGGTGCCCTCCGCCTGCCAGAGCCTCCGTAAGCTGTTCGAGCAATCCTGTCCAGGCCAGTGGGTGAAGCACTTCGATCGCAAGCGCACCTACGAGCAGTTCAAGGAGAAGATGGCCAAGGGATACGATCCCCTGGAGGAGCGTGCGCGGGCCGAAAAGCAGGCCAAGTGATCCTGAATCCCGACCAGGACGCCAGGAGCACCCGGTGGCCATCAGTCATCCGTGTTTTTGTACTGTTGTAGGGTAGTGTAAATAAATAACCCATCTAGCTATATGACTACAAATGGATGTACTTTTTATTTAGGTTTTCAAGAGATTCGTTTTTGAAAACTACATCTATGCCTGTTAACCCTACTAAAGGCCAAAAGTTCTTATGAAAAAGTGCCAGCTAATGCATGAATACATAGAGTATATCAAACTTGATAAACTATATAAATTAGATGCGGAAACCCAAATATTTGTATTTATTTATTATATTGCATATCCATTTATTGACATGCTCATTGTAGGGTTAAAGCTTCAGCCGGCGAAACCAGTGTTCACACACTAGAATTCGTTACTGATGTATCGGTAATCGATTATCGATAAATCAAAAGCAAGCGGAAAGCTTGCGTGCTAATTTATGTATTGTATTTAACAATTTAATTGAGAACCGTCAAAGGGAGCAGTTGAAACCGCCGTAGATGACGTAATGGAGTCGATTACCTTTGGAGTTCTGACCAGTAAGTGGCCCTGAATCCGTCCAGAAACCTGCAACTCACCTGCATTTCTTCCCCTTAGTTAGTGACACCTGTTGCCAGGAACCGGCAAAGGATAAAAGTGGTCCCAGGCTGAAGCAACTGATCGCCGAGTCCTTCACCAATGCCCAGGTGATAGAGAGTATTGTCCCGGACGAGAAGGACCACATCCAGCGGGTGCTGCGCGAGTGGATCGATAGGAAGGAGCTGCGGGTGATCCTGACCACCGGTGGAACAGGATTCGCTCCACGGGATGTGACTCCAGAGGCCACCAGACCGCTGCTGGAGAAGGAGTGCCCCCAACTTTCGTTGGTCATAACTTTAGAATCCCTAAAAAAGACCCAATTCGCGGCTCTTTCCCGCGGGCTCTGTGGCATTGCGGGGAATACCCTGATCCTCAATTTTCCGGGCAGCGAAAAGGCCGTTAAAGAGTGCTTCGAGACCGTGAGGGAACTCCTGCCTCATGCTCTGCATCTCATCGGTGACGAGGTGTCTCTGGTGCGCAAAACCCATGCGGAGGTGCAAGGATCCGCGCCCAGGGGTCACATTTGCCCCCATAAAACGGGGGCCGGAAGTGATTCCGATCGCAATTCCCCTTTTCCCATGCTGCCCGTCGAGGAGGTGCTCTCTATAATCTTCGACACGGTGCAGAGGACCAGCAGTCTGGACAAGATCTTGTGGCAGCTGAACTCGCCCGTGAACATTCCACCCTTCAGGGCTTCCATCAAGGATGGCTACGCCATGAAGTCCACCGGATTCTCGGGCAGCAAGCGCGTTTTGGGCTGCATAGCCGCCGGAGATGCAGTGAGTCTAGTTTGGATTTAAGATCGTGATTCCTAATCCCATTTTCCGTATGCCTTTCAGCCCAATTCATCGCCACTGGCGGAGGATGAGTGCTTCAAAATCAACACCGGAGCACCTCTGCCATTGGAGGCGGATTGCGTGGTGCAGGTGGAGGACACAAAATTGCTGCAACGGGACAAGCACGGCCGGGAAAGCCTGGTGGACATCATAGTGGAGCCAATGGCTGGCTTAGACGTGCGGTAGGTATTTAAGATTAGCCTGTGGAAAGCAACTAATGTATTTATTTTGCTTACAGGCCTGTGGGTCACGACCTGAGCACCAAGGATCGTGTTTTTCCCGCTCCAGATCCCTCGCCTGTGGTGGTCAAATCCCTGCTGGCCTCCGTGGGCAACCGTCTGGCTGTGCCCAAGCCCAGGGTGGCCATAGTGTCCACTGGCAGCGAGCTACTCTCTCCACGTGATCAACCCACTCCGGGCAAGATCTTCGACTCGAACACCACGATGTTGGCGGAACTGCTGCTCTACTTTGGTTTCGACTGCGTGCACACGAGCGTGCTAAGCGATAGCTTTGAACAGACGAAGGAATCGCTGTCTGATCTCTTTGAGGTGGTGGACTTTGTCATCTGCAGTGGCGGTGTCTCAATGGGCGACAAGGATTTCGTGAAGCCCGTGCTGGAGGACCTCCAGTTTAAACTTCACTGCGGCCGGGTGAACATGAAGCCAGGGTAAAATTCCTTTACCGGGAAAAGAAAAGTCCAGAATTCCATATTAATGCCTTGTGCCCCTCAGCAAGCCCATGACCTTCGCCAGCCGCAATGAGAAGTACTTCTTCGGCCTGCCCGGGAATCCAGTGTCAGCCTTTGTCACATTCCACCTGTTCGCCCTGCCCGCCATCCGCTGGGCTGCCGGCTGGGAACGCCAGAAGTGCTCCCTGCCCGTGATCAATGTGAAGGTGGGTTCCTCTTTGATTTAACCACATTGCGAAATCTTCAGTGGCGACAGACTATTATGATAGATGATGGTTATCTGCTGGCAATCAATCAGAGGATTCGAGAACGCTCATTGCTGTAGGTCGTCGCATGTGACGCTGTTCGCTTTATTTGGCTGACACTTTTGCTTTCGAGTGGGAAGATAACGCGATCCGTTTGTTTACTGGCGATAAAAAAAATAGTTTGTAAAGTCACCTTAAATACAGGGAGCTTGGGAAAACGCGGAAGTTTGTGTACCTACTGAAACTAGGGACAATTATCTTAAAAGCTAGTGATTAGTGGTTTCTCTTGGGGATTGTTTTCCAATGACTTGTAAAATATTCACAGCAATTTTCAATTCTAATTTGTTTTAATTTTTTATAGTTGCTGAACGGCTTCTATTTGGATAGCCGTCCGGAGTTTGTTCGAGCCTCAGTGATTTCCAAATCTGGAGAGCTGTACGCCAGTGTTAATGGAGATCAGGTAAGCCGGGTTACTTTGAAATGAAGTCCATGTAATCATCATTATCCTGCGCGAACCCTAGATAAGCAGCCGCCTACAGAGCATTGTGGGTGCGGATGTTTTAATCAACCTGCCAGCAGCAACCTCTGATCGCCCATTGGCGAAAGCTGGCGAAGTTTTCCCCGCCTCCGTGCTGCGATACGACTTTATCTCCAAGTACGAATAGGAATAGCTGCCAGGACAGACGCCAAGAAGCCTGCATAACCCTCGAATGTTAGACAAACACGACAATACACCTTCGTAGATTAGCACAAAGATTTATTTTTTCATATATCGTAACATCACGTACAATGTCCATCAATTACACCTTTAGCAGTGTGTACAAAAACGAGTATAAAGTAAATATTATAAAGGCCTTCCTAAAGGAAGAAATATTATCAAACAAAAATAATTTGCAGATAGATTAAAACAGAGTACGGAGAGCAGGACCTGGAACGGGATAAGGTCAAGAAAAACGGAATCGGGACGGGATCAGGAGCATATATACAGGAAGTGGAAGGAAGCGGGTCTCAAACCGACTGGGTGGCGGACTCGCCGACGACTGGAGATACCGGCCTTTGGAGGCGCAGCGAGGAGCGGCATGGCAACGTGAATTGATACTTGTTGTGGCTCAGGAGCGGATAGCGCTGCTGCGGGGCAAAGTCCCACAGGGCCCGCTCGATCACCTGCAGGGCGCCTGGACTGAGCACGTCCGCCGTGTACTGCGTGGGAGCTCCAGCGGTGGAGGACATGGCTGCAAGGGATGGCAAAGCAGGAATGTTATGTTTCTCTCCCAAATTACCGTGGGAACTACTCACTTTGTGCCACTGGCGCCTTGTACAACGACTCCGCCGTCATGCCGCAGGTGTCCAGAGCCACCACGCTGACGCCATACGGCTGCAGCTCCTTGCGCAGCTCCTCGGCGCACTTGTCCACGGCCACGCGGGAGGCATTGAAGGCCACCAGTCCATCGCCACCGGTGCGAGCAGCTCCACTTCCTCCGCCTCCGCCACCACCGCCCAAGTAAAGAAGCCGGCCGCGTGTGGGACGCAGGAAGCCCACAAAGGCCTTGGCCACACGCAGCGTACCCAGGATATTGGTCTTGAGCATGTGCTCCCACTGCTGAACATCCTGGGACTCCACTTTGCCGCGAAACACACTGCCACTGGTGTTAATTACGGCTGCAATGCCGCGCTCGTCGGCATTCAGGTGGGCGCCCATGGAAACGGTGGCCTCGCGCAGCACATCCTCCCGGGTGACGTCCAGACGCATCGGAATTATAGTGCCCGCAATGGGCTCCTCACTGTACTCGCGGATCTTCATCCAGCCGCAGAGGAGTTTGGCGGGCAGCGAGTCGTGGGCCTCCTTCATTCCGGCGAAAACCCGACATCCCTTGTTGGCCAAGTGGGTGCACAGCTGGAGACCCAGTGCGGTATCTGCGCTGGTGACCAGGACCACCCGACTGGGCTGGGAATCCGCACTGGCCGAGGCGCTATCCTCGCGCACCTTGCAGATCAGGTAGATGAGCAGCGCGCCGGCGATCGAGAAGAGCGCCAGCAGCTGGAAGGCCAACACCAGCATGGTCATTGGCTCCATTATGACATCGCTGCAATGTGAGGAAGAGGAGGTCAAAGGTGAGTAAACTGGGTATTTAAGAACTGGTTATTTATAGGATTATCAAATTTATACGTATTACTATTAAGATGGTATTCATGAATCTGATAACAAATTAAACAACATGATTATAAGCTAGTCCAGATACTAACAGTTAGGAAATATATTTACAATTCCCATAAATCCTTTAGTACACATATAGAATTGTTGCCACCCAAAATTCAATTGACACTTTTAGGCAAACTGTATTTTTTGTTAGTCTATTGAGGTCAGCTGATAAGATAGGAAAATATTGAAGAGTGAAAATTACATTTAATTATAATTAGCACATGTGACTTTGCTTGAACTTAACGGCTAGTATCTTGAACTAATTTTATTGTAAATTATTAGATATGATGATTATGGCTGACGACTAAAAGAGAGTTAAATTTGATCTGAAGCTTGGTTGCTAACGGACGCTCTCTTGAACGGACAGACTTTTATAATGCAGCAGCAAACAATATAGTAGAGCTTAGCGTTATATTTTGTAGGTCTGTCATTGATATCTGAATCCCACTTGGTGGAAAAGTGCCTGTTATATCTGGCACCAATGGACACTCTCTCCCAGACAAGGGGTTTCATCACCCTCGAGAGTTGGGTAACCAGACACTGCACTTCGCAATGGATAGAGATAGAGTTAGAGTGGATGGATATCTATAGCATGGATATATAGTATCCACAGCCGTATCCATGTCGATCTTTTGGCATTTTCACTTTAATTAAGACTCGTTAGGCTGCCGACGCATCGAGTAACAACTTTACGCTTGCCTTGCACTCTTTTCTTTCTTTCTATTTAATACGCTTTAATTATTGCACATTTTTCGACGAGTTTTTAACAATTTACGGCCGGGCCCTCGAAGAAATCGAAAAAGTTCCAAGAGGGGGAACGGCAGATAGCCAGATACAGATAGATAGCCATCCGAGTATCTGTGGATCCATGGACACGACACACGAACGTGGCCAGCGAGGCGTGTCCACTGCGAGTCTTCCATGCATTTGGCAATAAATTATGTCTACGTGCTTCTTGGCTTTTCACTACTGGGGACGAGGAGGAGGGGATTGGGATCGGGGATGGGCCATTCGGAGGCGGAGGATGAACCAAAGTAAAAGTTGGAACCCAACCAACTGCAGTTTGGAAGACGGAGCAACCCGAGATCTATGTGCAGTCTTCTTCAGCCAGTCACACAGCCAAAAAGTGGGATTATTAATGATATTTCACACCTATATGATCCCATTTATATTGATATTTTGATAATACATCATGGATTGCAATAATAATATTGGTTCAAATATTCAAATATGATATAGGATATCAATAGTTGGGTTTTTTAATGTTGTTCTTATCTTATTGATATACCTTTTCCGAAATACTCTAACGTTTCTTTAGTCTTTCTTTTCGTAATATTTAAAGAGAGAGAGAGAGTTCAAATGCGTATAGTATTTTCTTTCGGTGCACCCGCTGTGGGTGCAGTTACTCGAGCGGACACTTTCCAGGTTCCGGTGGTTCCCCTTATTGCGGCACCCTGCTCTTTAAAATTTCACTGATGTGCAGAGCTGCAGAAGAAGTTTGTTGACACGCGGAAATGGGTTTGCCATATTTGCTGGCACTGCGGTTTTGGGCTCGGAATTCGGGGGCGGGGTAAGCGGAACCGGAGTCGCTTTTGGTCAAACCACCAATGCAGCGGCACTGCATCCGCCGCCGGTTGCGTAATTAGACAAACAAACGGCGGAACAAACAAATGCCTTATGGCAACCGAACGATAAGTGGAAATTGGAGAAAACGCAGGGAGAAATTTTGAGGTTTGCGAGATCTTTGGGAAAGATTTTGAGCAGGGTTCGCATAACTTGAACTGCAGTTTTACGTTTTAAGGGGTCTTAAGGGATTACTAAAAAAGTTTTGTATATTTTGAGGCTTTCTATTTGTTTGCATTCAAAAATGTAAGTCAAAAAATATAATGATGTAATTGCTCATTGTAAATTCTCTAATAGGTATATTTGTTTTGCGTTCGGAACGGCTGCCTTAATGAGTTGGTTCATTAGCCAAGATCTCTAGTAACTGGTTCCATTGGTGGCTCTTGGTTGCGCAAGTGGTTATGTCAACTGCCGGACGGTTCTAATGGATCTCGGAGTTTTGAGCTTGATGCTTGGAGCTGACCCAAATTGAACGCAATGCGCGGGTCTTTGACTTTGGCATCAATCAATTGGCCAATCATTCAATCAAGCCAATCGTCGGGCTGTGAACCAAACCAAGTGTGTCATTAGCCGCCGGTTGAATGTGTCAGTAATGAACTGAGCTCGACTTACGCCGATCCGATGCAATTATTCCGGAATTATCGGCATCGAACGACTGGGAATGCGTGGAGTGTGCCGGTGACTCCAGCCGTGATTAGCCAGTGACTGCGCCTGTGATTAACGATTGACAGGTGGGCTAGTTACCCCAAGCCCCACCAATCATACATATATCATAGGTACATATCTCTAGTAATATGCTCGTATTAGGTATCACTCTACAACATGCATATACCTTATATCTTTCAATGCTTATCTCTCTATTGTCTCTATGTGGCTGTGATTCAACCATAGTTAAACTGTTTTTATGCTGATGTCAGGTCTTGACACAGCGCTAATTGAAATGTCACATAAAACGAATCTTTGTTTAAGCGAGGATGGGGCACTCTATGGCGGAAGATAGTTGGAGGTTACAGATAGCCGAAATACATACAACAGAGTGCATATTCAGATGGTATTTTTATAAAATCTTTACTCTGCTTATTGTGATTAATCTCCTTTGTATCTCAGTTTCAGCTTTATATCCCCAACTATTCCGATACGCAGTTGTGAGTTTTCCCATAGTCACATTTTTATGTAATACATGGCTCTCCTCACCTTTCAGACTGATTACTCCTAAATCTACTCGCATATCTTTCTCATACATGTTTCCAGTTTCGAGGGGTTGGTCCAAAATCTGTTCAGGGTTGGGCTAATCACTTGAACAAACGCTTTGTTTCTTGTTCGGGCCACGATTCATGCCTTACTCACACTTTAGGTTAAGTTCGAGACAATGTCAGGTGAATACGAATACGAATACGAATACGACTACCCAGGGGCGTATTTACTGCTGATTTTTAGAGGGTTTTAACGATGTAAAGCCACATTTTTAAGGTATTATTTGCCTGTGCCAAATTACAACAAGAACGCCATTGATCTCGGCCCGATTCCCCGATTTTATGGTGTTTTTTTTGGGCCCATTAAACACCAACATATGTACATGTGCACTTGCACACATGAGAAATATGTTAATTGCGACATTTGCCGATTTTGCTGTGGTCAGGCATTCATAAGCTTCGAGTCGGTTTTCTCATTTGTTTGGCTGGCTTTTGTTTTCTGTTTTCCTCTGTTGTTTTTTTCTGTTAACATTCAACCCAAATATGTCAGCCAGTCGGCAGCCAGACAGGCATCCCAATGGCATGAGATCGATATCCATACAGCAGGCTCGGCACTTTGGCCATAAAGCCAAATATCTATGTAGTCACATTACGTATACGCAGCGTGGCTGCGATTATGAATGCAGTTTGTTACAAGTTGGGTCGCTTGATTAATGATTTCGGCTGATTCACGGAGGGGCACAGATAAATATGTGGATAAATTGAGTTATTTTCTCTGGCAAGTGTTTATTTGACTCGTTAATTAGTGTTGGTTTGTTGTATAGAATGCAAAATAAAGTGTTGGTAATCGAAAAAGCACAATTACTTAAGTGTGAATCTTTTCTTTAGCTATTTTTATCAGGCAAAGCGGTTTTTTAGAGTCTTATATAAATTGAATTAGTCTATTGTAGGCTTCTATTAAACTATGATTAATTTGGATGGTTAGCTAACATGCCTAACCAGTGTTGGTAAAGTAATTATTTAAACTGAAATTATAAAAACCTTATTATAATTTGCCAGGCAACAAACTTCCAGCTTGGCCGACTGTTTACAAAGTAATATTTTATGGCGCATTACAACATATGAAGCAAACCTTGTTTCAGTCTCCATTTCTTTTCTCGTGCATCCCGTAGATTAAAAGACCCACTTGAGTCCCCCCTCTCTACCCCCTTTTCAGTGCCGAAAATTAGTTGAAAAAGTTCAAATGCAACGAAGCGATAAATGTTGATTCAGAGGGGATATTCGATATGGCTGAAATCGAAACCGAAACTGATTTTGGGGTTTGGCCTTTTCCCCCTCCGTCTGCTTTAATGCACATGCAAAGCGAAATTGTTGGCTAATTGCCATAATTGGAGAATCGATCGAAGAAATAGCGAAAAACGCCAAGCAAAAAAAAAAGAAAAAGACAGAGCGAAAAAACGCAGCCAAAACGAAACCAAAACGAAGCGAATCGAGTAGCCCCAATTAATTTGCACCTCGACGGTGGTAAAAACAATGAGAAAAGAGTGTATACAGTCAAACCTCCCTAACTTGAATTAAATCAAGTGTCAATGGCTTTTAAAAACAATTCTGTATGCCAACAAATGTAACTTTCAGAAACAGAAATAAGGCAAAACAAAAAAATCTGTTACTGTTTACAACCTAAGAATTTTGACAACTGTTCACAAATTAGGATTTTTGAACACTGTTCACAAATTAAGATTTTTGAACACTGTTCACAAATTAAAATTCTTAAACACTGTTAATAAATTCAGATTTTTGAACCTTTCAGTGACTTCAAAATTTTAAACGCGCTTTTCTGGTTCGACTTATGGAAGATCTACTGTACACATATCCCACCCCTCTCTGGATTGTGTGTTCCAATTGAAATTCGTTTCGTTTTTGTTTTGGCCATTTGCCGACTTGGGTGTTGTTTATTGTTTGCATTTCATGTTCAGGTGCGATCGAGATTTCTACTTCGCCTTAACACATTTAACATTTCAGCCGGGCCCAAGTGCTAATTTGGCCAGAGAGCCAGAGCCAGTGCCTC